AGCCAAGACTGCTTTGCAAGCGGGGCACCCCTGAGAACTATCTGTCTGGGGTGGGGGTCGGGACCCTTTAAGCACAGCCCTCAGCTAGCCTGAGAAAGCATCTCCACGCTCTAAGTCCTTCTCTGATGCCCTGCCGGCACTGCTTCTGGCCATCTTTAAGCCCGGTTCAGGGTCCACTTAATGTGGACATGCTAGTTCGAATTAGCAAAACGCTAATTCGAACTAGTTTTTTAGTCTGGATCCGTTAGTTCGAATTAGCTTAGTTCGAATTAACTAATTCGAACTAAGTTAGTTCGAATTAACGTTGTAGTGTAGACGTACCCCTATAGCCTTAGCTTTAGAGGAATAGAAAACAATGAAAATAGCATGCACATTTGCACTATTACTTCTAAGCCTCTTGACATAGAGATGGTATAGGATGAAAACTGTTTATAATAAGACTGTTTATAATAAAGATAAGTATTAAACGCAGCATGTATGTTCGGGGCAGTGTTTTTGGTTTTTTTCTCAACAAATTTTTAGCCTGCGTGTTCGGTATTTTTTGGGAGACCATCTGGCAACCCTAGATCCCGAGGGTGCCGGATTAGAGAGGTTTCAATCTGTTTTAAAAATTACTGAAATTGTAAGCATATATGTTAATGTTATAGAAAATTTTTGACATTTGGGGATTTCTGTTAATCCTGTACTGACATGGTTATGAAAAAATTACATTTACTATCCTATTGCTCCTTGGCAAAGTTGTCTATCTATGATTTGCGACACATCAGTGACTGTGCTGAGATACAGAGAATGCCTGCAAGCAAAAAGGTAAAATAGAACTGTGTGTTTCAGAGTTTTGTATTTTGCTTTGGAGAATCACTGCCCTGGAAATAAGAACCAGGATATTTTCCCCCTATCCCTCTTCATAGTAAATCTCTAACACAGAGACTCCCCAAGCCAGCCCTGTGGGTGTTGGCTATGCTGCAGGAGGGGGTTGGCCGCGCTGCGCCGCGGGAGGGGAGTTTGGCCCCAGGGCAGGTGCCTGCAGAGGTTGGTCGCGCTGTGGGAGGGGAGGGGCCGGGCCGCAGAAGGGGGGTTTGGCTCCGCCGTGGGAGGGGTGGGGGTTGCCCCTGGTGCAGGCTCCTGCGGGGGGTTGGCCCCACCGCGGAATGGGGGGTTACCCCCGAGGCAGGCTCCTGCGGGGGTTAGGCCCTGCTGCGGGAGGCGGGGGTTAGCCCAGGGGCAGGTACGCTCGGGGTTTCCCTGCGCCGCGGGGGGCCCGGAGGAGGCATGTGCTGGCTTCCCGCGGGGGTGGGGGGAGGGAGAGAGAATCCTGGGAGGAGGCAGATGCAGGTGACTCTCCTGCCACTGGCACCCTGTCCCCGCTCTCCAGACTCCACTCCCCTGTCCCCACCTACAGAACTCTGTCTCCACGCCCGTCCCCACTCCCCAAACTCTGTCCCCATTCCCCTGTCCCCAGCTACAGAACTCTGTCCCCATTCCCCTGTTCCCATTCCCATCCCCACTCCCCGAACTCTGTCCCCACTGGCACCCTGTCCCCTACTGCAGAACCCTGTCCTCTGCCCTCCCAGCACCCTGTTCTCTCTCCCCTGCCCCCAGCCGCAGAACTCTGTCCCCACAAAATGTATAATTATAAATGCTTCATTTTAGATTTAAATAGCATGAATAAAAAACAGACCATTTATTTCATAACTATAAACACGTGATTTTAATTTTATATATCGCATAATTTAAAAATAAACTTTTTCAGGGTGTGTAAGTAAGGGCTGGGGATAGCAAGTGATGGACAGGAGGAGAATAGAGAGGGCAGGGCTTCAAGGAAGGGGCGGGGCAGTAGATCTTCGCCTGTTCTGAGGTTTAAAAAGTGATCTTTGGTGTAAAAAGGTTGGAGACCACTGCCATAGGCTAAAATCACCCTGCCCCCAGGAGCAATGCAGACATTGAATCACTTCAACTTTGGGAGAATGCAGACACAGAACCTAGGAAACCAACCCCCAAATGGGAGCAGTACCCCAAATAAATCAGTCTTGTACTGTGTGAGTTCTCACATGTTGAAAGCATGTTCAGGTAAACCCGCTTTAACAATGAAAGGATGATGTACACACTGATGGCCCCCCTCCAAGTAACAATTATTTACACTGGGCTTGATAGTAAATAAAAGTAATTTTTATTAAGTACAAAGATGATTTTAGTGGTTGCAAGTGAAAGCAGACAGAGCAAAGTAAATTACAAATTTAAAATAAAAGAAAATGCATAGCTAGTTTTAACACACTAAGGCTACGTCTACACTGGCCCCTTTTCCGGAAGGGGCATGTAAATTTCATGAGTCGTAGTAGGGAAATCCGCGGGGGATTTAAATATCCCCCGCGGCATTTAAATAAAAATGTCCGCTGCTTTTTTCCGGCTTTTAAAAAAGCCGGAAAAGAGCGTCTACACTGGCCCCGATCCTCCGGAAAAAGCACCCTTTTCCGGAGGCTCTTATTCCTACTTTGAAGGGCGCTTTTTCCGGAGGATCGGGGCCAGTGTAGACGCTCTTTTCCGGCTTTTTTAAAAGCCGGAAAAAAGCGGCGGACATTTTTATTTAAATGCCGCGGGGGATATTTAAATCCCCCGCGGATTTCCCTACTACGACTCATGAAATTTACATGCCCCTTCCGGAAAAGGGGCCAGTGTAGACGAGCCCTAAAGCTTTATTGCAAAGCTTACCCTAAAACTGTGTTGTTTGGGGCAAATCCTCAAGCCAGAGAAGATCTTTTTTTCTCTCTGAGTCCTCAGCTATTCCCTTGAGCAGTGTTTCCCAATTTTATTTGGCCACGGAACCCTTTTAAACTCAAAAGAATTTTGTGGAACCTCTAATAGCAGTCTTATATATGGAACTGAATAAGTAGACTACAAATAAGTAAGGATAATAATAAATCAATGCTAAACAAGGTCATGAGATCAACACAAATGAAAATTGTTTTCAATAAAATTCATAAATGCTTAATATTAATTATTTTTTTAAATAATAACATGTTATTGTAATGGAATTTTCTCACAGAACCCTTATTTTCACTTCGCGGAACGCTGGGGTTCCCCGGAACACTATTTGGGAAACACTGCCCTTGAGCATGCCATGCCAGCCAAAGACAAAGGGACAGATAACTTCCCATTGTTTTATTGATTCCAATTTATGCAGAACTTTTTGTTCTCTCTCCCACCGTCCATGGAAAATTACCTGATCAGACCCTACCCGTTGGAGTGGTTCATGTCTTCCTAAAACCAGCCACTACTTAGACTTGTAGAACAAAGAAGGCTGTTCTCAAATCGTTAAGTTGATCACCCCATCATTAAAGTATCCCAGCACTGGAAACACCCTTGATGGCTTTCATTTGCACATTTAAAAACAAATCATTCCATACTTCGCATTTCTAGCTTTACATACAAGAGTGATACATACACCAAAATAAGATATGCAGACCCAGCAGATTAAGACATTACATGAGGTATTTTGTCCAAAGCATCTTTGAGCTATGCATATTTGTATACATAAGACAATTTCACATAGCATGTCACTCCCTCCAACACCTGTTTCTTCTGTTCCTACTCTCCCCCAGCTGATCATCTTCACGAAGTCCTGTGAACATGCAGATTACTAATGTACTCTCCTTCAGTGTTGCGATCTCCCAATAATACTTCTGCACCTCACTGAATCCTACATTTCTGAGATCTGCCCTCAGTTTCTCAATCCACACTGCTACAGCTCTTGTCCATGCCTGTCACTGTCTTGCCTTTTGCCCCACCCTGCTTTCTATCCTTGATAAATTCCATCTTGCCTCCCAAGTCCATTCAAAATATCAAAGCCATCTTCTTGGTTAATTGCTCAGACTAACCACCACCACCCACCCACCCACACACTTTTTTCTTTCTGCCACTGAGTTCCTCTCCGTCCACCACTTCAAACACAAGCTACGTATTTTTACATGCTGAGTGCCTTCCTGGTTTTGTATTATGCTACTTATCAACTCTAATAATTATTGAGCTGGCAGCGGCCAACCTGAGAAAGTAAGGTAGTCATCATGTGTCAGCTAAAAGAGATACAACTCCTCAGTTGTTTTCTGCAGCATAGGGAAGAAAAACATTTCAACTGGCTTCTCAGCAAAAGCCCAGCCAGTCAGATACATCCGGCTTATAACAGTTGTGCTGCCTCAGCTAGTCATCTCCAGAATGGCTTGGTTACTGAAGCACTGGTCAGGAAAAAAAAACCTGAAAAAAGCGAGTGGCTTTAGTTTTGCTATTTCTATTTAGGTGAAGAATATATTTTTTTCATGTGGGTGGTGGAGAATCGCTATTTTGCTTTCTTCTGATTTCCTTGTGCTGTGTGAAAAGTCATGTGATCTAAAAAGCCCAATAAAGCCAGTGAGAGTCTTTCATTGACTTCACTAAACTTTGGATCAGCCCTTATGTGAGCAGGTTTTTCCTTGGGAAATTGTTGGCATAAAGTATGATAATCTCTCCTCTCCCTGATCTTTGCTATACCCCTGTGCTGCAGTTTCAGTGGAACTCACTTTTGAAAAGTAATGTTGGTAATCATAAAGACCAGGGGAAAAATAAATTAAAACTTGTGCAGAAATGGATGGCTAATGCTCTTATATTTACTGGGAAAAACTTCCATGTTGGCGAGCAGGCAAGTAGACTTTTTCCAAGCTCTATGAATACCTGGTACTTTTTTTCTGTTTTGTGGGCAAAAGGGCAGATGTTACTACAGAGTTAATGATTGATGTTATTGACTTATGAGCTGAATGCTAACCAGTTCTTGCTGGTGGCCTGCTTCAATCACCTGATCGTGGTCTGTTGTAGAGCTGACTAAACTATGGCTACTTTCCCCATGTGAACTGTGAGCAACACTTTTGAAAACTTAGTGTAGTCCCCTTACTAAAGGTGCCTCAGCTTATTTTCTGGGAAGACCCTGTGTGCTGCAATCTAGCCTCACAGACTACAATTCCCATGAGCCCTGGGGAAAAATAGAAGGAAGTGACTTTTGTTTTGGAGATCCGGAGTCTCTCCATGCGTGTGGAGGAAGACTCAGCAGTTTGTGGATGCTTCCCTCTGTTTTTGGAGCAGAAAGGGAGCCAGGCTGCTGTGGAGGAGTTTGATCCAATTCAGGAGTTATGTTATAGTTACAGACTGGGACAGTGATCTAGCCTTTGGAACTGGGATCTAGCAGGTTGCTTCTGATTGCCCTAGAGGTGACTTGGGCTGTACTTGTGGCTAGAAGCTACTTTACATCCAGCACACAGGAAGAGACTGTGAGTAACTGGGCATCTTTGGGAAAATGCTGCCTGGGACAGACCTCAGAGATACAGACTAACTCTGGGTTTAAAGAGAGGCAGAGAGTTCAACCCAGTGAACCATAGCTGCTACATAACTTGGACCCACATACACCCTACCTACAGAGAATCTCCATTACAGCTGCAGTTCTTCAAGCGTGCCTACACAAGCAAGAGTCTGGGACTCTGAGTCCAGGGGTGTGCACACTCTGGGGTGGGATAAATATTGGCAGTGCAAATGGCAGCCAGATAAGTTCCTTTTACTTCTGTGTACTTTGTTAATTGATGTTATTCACTGTTAATTTGTTAAATCCTGTTTCTTTAAGGTAAGTAAAAGTTGTTCATTCTAATGCAATCTATTAGATGTATATTATTTATGATTTGTAATTGTTGTTCTGGAGTTAGATCCAGTTTATTGTTGGAATAAGTTTATTCCTGGAGGTTCCCAAGGCACACCAGTGAGTGTGTTACAGGGCCAGCCAGGTGGAGGCACCATCATTATATGCCCTTTATGAGTAAGGGACAGCAGCAAGGGGGTGGATAGGTTTTCCCCAACTAAACAACATCACCACTGGGGTACTCAGGATCTCCTTTTATGTCAAGAGCATCAGGCACCCAGGGACACCTGTGAGTGTGACCTGCTCCCGAGTAACCCCGGGGAGGAAAAAGGGGGTTACATTAGCTTCAGGTAGTTGCTAACAAGACAATTGTTTTATACCAGGCTTCTGTGGGCAAGGTACCTCATGCCTGCTGGTGTCTGTCAACAGAAAAACTGCAAACTCTGTTCTCTATTTTTGGGGGAAGGAAGGGGATGGAGAATCTTGGTCTCATGCCTGCCCAGAGATCAAACTGGACCTCTCACTGAGCCAATACTTCTGTTGTGGTAGGGAAGGAAAAGGAGCCTGCAGGGGGAAGACTGCCTAATTGAGCTCCTAAAGCTCAGCTTTCATAGGAAAATAAAGTCTCAATCTTATAATACCTGCACAAATGCAGAGTTAAAGTCAGGGGTCTGATTGCACAAGCCAGTTTCAGGCTTGGGGCTCAAGCCATTATCCTGTCTAGAACTGCATGCTCTGTGTGTTGTCATTCCAAAACACATGAGGAAATTTGCATTATAAACACATATGTGATAGTCACAATCTGTCACTTGAAGCAAGAAGGTCAGTCTAATCTAGATTATGTATTCTTAATGAAAATTCGAAAAAAATGTTACATATGAAAAATTAAGATGCAACTGTGCAAGCCGTCTTTTAATCATAAACCAATCTGCTTATCAGATCAGTTAGTCTCAGGACCTGGTGTACTCTGATCTCTTCAGCACAGAATTTATAAATCAGTTGTCCAGTTTGCTGAAAGAAATAGAAAATGGCCAAAGTTGAGAAGTTTGCTCTTCATGTCCCAAGTCTAGAGGAGCTTTCTAGAGGTAAGTAATACAATTTTTGTTGCAATAAGAAATAACAAATAACTTAATATTTTGTATTGTGTTCTTCATCCTTAAATAGAACTGGGCAGAGGTTATATTTGACCTTGTAAAGTTTTTCCTATTTTAATTATTCTAAACTAGCAAACTGTGTCTTTGCATCCATCCCATTTATAACCTTCAGCCCAATGATTGGACACTTAGTTTCCAAACAAGTGACCACAGGATTGAGTCCCCAACGCAGAGCAGGGACTTGAACTCAGTCCCTTCTGCTAGGGGAAGTATCCTGGCCACTAGGCTACAGATTGTTTTGGAGTGGGATGTTCATAATCTTTCCTATTGAAGCTGTTCCCCTTTGGCCCAATGAATATTAAGTAATTGTACAAAGACAGCAGAACAACGCTGTAGCCTCTTAATTAAGTCACTGGTTTGGGAGACAGGAAATTAATGAAAGCAGGCCCGTACATGGGGCAGCAGTGGGGGTGCGAAGGGTGCAAGTGCACCCCCTAATGGTTCTCCAAGTAAGTGTGAGGCAGGAGTGGTGGGTGGCCCCAGCCTCCCTACCTTGTGCTCCAGCCAGCCAGCTAGGGGAAGGCCGGGGCTGACTTCCCACCCAGGAGCAAGGGTGGAGTTGGGGCTGGGTCATGGGGGCAGGTCAGCCACCAGTCCTTCCCATGGCTCACAGCTCCCCTACAGAAATTCCTGTGTATGGGCCTGGGAAGGCTTGTTTAGGACCTGGGAGGAGGGAAAATTGAATTAAAGTCTAGATTCCAGTGTGGGGATTTGCCCACTTGTGAGGTAAGTACTATAGCCACTGGGCTAAAGGTTATAAGTGGACCGCTGTCTCACTGAATGTTTTGGATGTGTACCAGTTTTCATTCTAGATATTTCAATTTGCTGCCTGAAATGAAAAGAATTATTCACTTAGCTCTAGTATCAAAGCACTTAGCAGACCACACTAAGTGCTTCTGCTATCAGCATGTTAAACTACATCCAGTGGAGAAGGGTTGGGAGAATGATGCTCTTGATTTAAGGTAGTGGTGGGGTTTGGGGTGTTTTTTGGGGTTTTGGCCTTCTATTGATTGAAACTTGTGCCTGTTGATAAGAGCCGTGCAAAATATTTAGGCTGAGTCTCAAACCTACTGTAACCTGAGTTTGAGCTAACGGCATGCTGCGTTTTCAAACTTCCTGCCAGGCTTTTAAAATTTTGCATTTCTTGTGTGAGGTTCTTTGTGCAGTTGGAGAGCCTCTCTGCCCCCAGCCAGCATCACTTTCTCTCCCAGTAAAATCCAAGGTACATTCTGATGTCAGCTAACAGATCCTGTAACTCATTAGCTGGGAGTGGTCCCCATTTGATGTTAGAACCCAACAGTAAATTCAGTGTACTTATTTAATGTCTCTTTCAGATTTATAGAACATGCCCAACCTTGAAACCCAAGCTGCACAAACAAAATAAAATGATAATACAAATACAGAGCTCTTCCTTTGCAGGGTTATTATCCCTTATAACAATGGTTCTCAGTTATTTTCTTCCAACTCGAATACAAAATCTACCTGTAGTTTCTTGCTAGACCACTCACGTCCCACATTACTTTGCAGCTTCAAAAGATTGCAAGATAGAGATCTTGGCAAAAACCCTTAACTGAGTTGGAGTACTACTTTTACCCGCTAAGTAAGTGTGGGGAACCTTCTTTGAGTTGAGAGCTGCTACCACAGAAAAATCAGTCAGGGGCTGCACACAAGTGAGAACCAAAAAAACTTGCCTCTCAGATATGGCCCCTGACTGAGAAGGAAAAAGACACTCCCCGCATTCCACTCACACACCAGAGCCTAGGGGAGCCCAGGCTAGTAGATTGTGTGCTTCTGCCCCACAGTGGGGCAGAGGGGGCTGGAGCGCCAGCACTGGCTTTCCAATGCTGGGTGGGGGCCCTTAGCCTCAGGGACCATATCCAGACAAGCCAGAGGGCGTATTCAGACCCCAGATCTGAGGCTCACAGCCTCTTGGACCAGTGCTGTCCATATTGCTGAGTGCTGGGCAGGGAGTGGTGAGGTGGTACAATAGGATTGGGTTCGGATTGAGATGGGTGGAGCAATTAGAGAGCACCATGATGTAGGAACAAACTCATCCTGCTCACTCCAACAGCAGCAGGAGTAGAGTAGAAAACAATTTCTTCTTCCTTCATAGCTGGGCCCTAATATCAAAAGCTTTTTCTTGCTTTCCCCCACTTCCTCCCCATCAGCCTTTGGGGAATGACTCAGTGGAGATCTTTCAGAGCCTCCTTACTGATCCAATTACATATTACTGCTAACTATATTGTGCAGACTCATTATGGCAAATGGCTTTAACTCTACCAGGCCAGAAGAGAGGTGGGTATGAATCTGTGAACAGGGGGATAAGGAGCAGAGACAGGGAAATCCTTCAGGAAGCTCTAAAAACAGCCTGATTTAAGGAGAAAACATGGGTTACATTTTATCTTCTGCTGTAGAAGGTATCAGTGAAGCCAAACTCCAGGAATGGGTTAACTTTGACCTTGAATACCACCCCAATGACATGAGTTACATCAACACACCATTGTCCATAATGCTGCTGGTCACAGAGGTGGTTTTATTATGCTGACAGGAGAACACTCTCTCATCGTTATAAAGTGTTTTCACCAGATGCAGTGCTGCACATGTAGATATGCCATAAAAGCCAGAATCATTCTTGCTTTTGCTTTGGTGGAACAGTCCATTGCTATGGGATTTGTTTTCTAGTGACTTTGTTTTACTTTTACTTTTGACCAAATGTTAATGAAACAAAATGAAATATTATATCAAGAGTTGTTCGGCAATATTTCTTCCCTCTGCTCTGTATAGGAGGGGTATCTTGTTCAGACATCTGACCAAAAAAAGTGTTGTTCTTCTCTCGCCTTCCCCCTCTACCCACTAGTTTGAATTCATCTCAAGTCACAATGAGGGGAAAACTGTTGTCCTGTGATATCTATTTGTGGGTTGTGTGGTACTTTTGAACATGAGGCAGGTGTCTAAGTGTGGATTCATTTAAGAGCCTAGTTTAAGGCCTCCTTCCAAAAATCTTGGCTTTTTTTTTTTAAAGAAAAAAAATAGAAAATTCTGTCTTTAAGAAAGATGTCAGGATAGCAGAGAAGGGTTTGAAGGATTCTCTGAAACCCTGATTCAGTGAGGCATTTAGCATATATGTGTAACTTTTGAGCTAGCTAGTAGCCTCATATATGTTAACGGAATTCCTCATTAGGGATGTAAGCGACTAGTTGACTATCCGATAAGCAAAAGCTTATTGGATAGTCGACACATTGGATAGTGGAACGAGGAGTAACGGTAGTTCGGAATAGGAAGCCTAATCCGAACTACCTAGTTCGTGCCGCATGTAGCCGCGGGCACGGAGTCCGAACTAGCGGGGATTTAAAAATGGCGGCGCCCGGTAAATTCAAATCCCGGGCTTCATTTGCAACTTCGGTTGCCTACGTTAACCACCCTAGTTCGAAGTAGGGTGGTAGTGTAGACATACCCTAATTGACTAGTCATTGCCCCCTCCCCCTCTTGCTGCCTCTATCAAAAAGAGGCAGCAAGGGAGGGAAGAGAAGAGGATGCTGGAAGAAGCCGTCATAAAAACTGGTTCTCCATCCGTCCCTCCCTCCCCCAGCTCCAGCTCTGTGGAAGGGGGCAGGGGCATAGCGGTGGCTACCTTTGAAATGTACAAGAGCCTCAGTAAGGAGTCCTTTGCAGCAAGAGTCCTTGCGGTGTTCCAACTTTGAAACGTACAAGAGTCCCCACTGGGGGGGTCTTGAATATTTCAAGGCAGAGCCCAGGATCAGCGGGACTCCCTCCTGGCCCCGGGCTACACGCAGCATTTCAACCTTTAAAATGCCCAAGAGCCTCTACTGAGGCTCTTGTACATTTCAAAAGCCGAACGCACTAATTCTTATCAGATAATCAAATAGTCGATGGAAATCCCATTCAGTTAATCAAAATTTAACATCCCTATTCCTCATGTGCTTGAAGTGACATACATGCTTATGTATCATGCTGAATCAGCATCTTAAAGTACATGTGTTATATGGTGTATTACTCACCAAACTTCAATTTCTCACTAACACATGGTTTTTACTTTATTCTAGTCCTGCAGGATGGACTTAAGGAGAACTTTGCTGACGTCCAGGTGTCGGTAGTAGACTGCCCTGATTTGACTCGTGATCCTTTCAACTTTCCTGTTAAAGGTAATATACCATTCTAATGGTAAGTTATGACTCTGCCAGTATTTGATAATTGAAACTCTCGAAGATGGTGACAGAAGAAGGGTGATCTTGTGGATAAGCTTCAAGGCTGAGAGGTAGGAGAGCTGCACCCGACCGACTCTGTCACTAGCTTGATGTGACCTGATTTAAGGCATGTCATTCACGCGTTCCATATCACTGTTTCTCATCTGTAAAACAAGTTAAACTTACAGGCTAAACTCACCACTGTCTGCTAAGGGTTTTAACATCCTCAGATGGAAGGGGCTATGTATGTGCCAAATACTGTCTTGCTACTCAACCTCATTCTAATAACAAGCTTGGTCCCAGTTGCTTTAACTTCCATCACTGTATCTGTACCTTCTGCTGTCTTTGCATGATGACACTACAAACTATGCCTCATTGGACACTGGTGTTCCTCGATGGTTGCCTGGTAGCCTTTGTGTGTGTTTGTGTGCCTATAGCACAGTACTACTTTTGAAACAGGATGGCTAGCTTTAAGAATTGAACCCATACATTTTTCTTCCAATTCAGACCTACTTTAAATGGCTTTTTAGGTTTTTGGAAAACTTAAATATATCTTAACACACAGAAAAAACTTATGATTTAAAATACTTCCTAGAAACTTAAAGGAAGCTTTTGAAGAACAACTTCTTTGTCCTAATATACTTCAGGTACACAGATAAAATTTTAGAGGGATGCTCCTGAGAAGCTAACTTGCTTTGTTCTTGTTCCAGGACTCTGCGGGAAGCCTAGAATAGTGGATGTGGGAGGTGTTCCTTACCTTGTGCCTCTTGTACAAAAGGATAAAGTGAGTTAATTTATAATCCTGGCTTTTTAGTGCACTTGCCAAAGAAAGAAGCCTATGTACCCAATGTTCCCTCTAATTTTTTCCATCCTGAGGCATATGCAGATATGCATCACCAGTAGGAACACATGCTACTTGCTGTGGGTGGCCACCTACTCTGTTAATCAGCTGGGTGACCCCTGAATCTTTTCTGGGTTTACAGGGAACACTGTATGTAGCAGTGATACTCAGACATTAGTGATTCATGAGACAAATAATTGATTAATATTACCCTAAAGAGTCACAGTTATGTGAATTAATTGTTTCATTTACTATAGTGCTATATAATCATATTGAAACAGTATTTACAGGAAATATTTAGTATATATTATTCTTACAGCAAAATGACTAACCAAGTACTATTGTTTTATCAACTACTATTGGTTAATAACATAGTAAAAGTTTCTGGATTGGTTTAACTTAGGTTAATAATTAAATCACAGTGTTTTAATATGTGCTGCGGAGCCACAGGAGACACATTGTGGTCTCAATCTGAGAATCACTGACTGTGGCCACAAACACTGACTGATGAATGCTTCTAGATTCCACTTGCAAAAATAGTTTGGCATTCTGAAAGCATGGACCAAATCCTCACCTGTGTGACTGTTTCTTCAAAAGCTGTCAGTGACAGCAGACACCAAGGGATGTTGGAGGGAATTACCTGAGGCTAGGGGTATGGTCTGTATTTGTATGTATTGTATACTACCCATCCCTGGTATCTAGCCATGCACTCCATGCTGATTATAACTATTTGTAAAAGCAGACTCTCAGGTGCTTGGGTATGGTGCTGGCATAGGTCAAAGTAAAGTTCACATTCATACTTGTAAATGTATTTTCTTTTGGCAGAGCATTGGGCCTGCCGGAATCTGATTCTGAGTGACCTTATTTAAGGATATTTGCATTCTTGCTTTAAAAAATGTCTTTAGCATGAAGATCAGTAATTTGGCTCTTACACAGGACAGGCTTGTGCAAGAAGACCCTGTAATCCCACAAATCACTGCATGATGTGCCCAAGCCATTAACCTTGAACTTGACCAGATGTCAATGGTGTTTGGATTTGAGGATTGTATTCAAATCAATTTGTGCAAATAAAATAATGATATTTGGATAAAATCATCAAGAAATTGCAGTGGATATGGGAGGTGGGTGACCCTATGGCTTGGGGAGGCAACCCTGCCCCCAGTCCCAGACCCCATGCTTCCTCCACACTGTGGCCTGGTGGCCCCTATCCAGCTTCCTCTCCCATACTCGCCCTTACCCCCTCCCCGCCCCAGAGCAGTGCCCCCACCCCCAACCTTTTCGAGGCCCTGGAGAGCTAGCAGATGGCACAGCCCCAGTCTGCCTCACCCCGGAGCTCTGGGGAACCAGCGGATGGCTTAGCCCTGGCCTGCTCTGGAGCTTCAGAGAACCAGCGGGAGGCATGGCCCCAACCTGTCCCAGAGAGCCAGCGGGCAGTGCAGCTCCAACCTGCCCCAGAGCTCAGGAGAGCCAGCGGCAGTATAGCTCCAGCCTGCTCAAACCTCAGCGCTCCAGAGAGCTGACCAGCAGGCATGGTACAAGGCTAAGCATGGGTGAGGACAGGTCAGGCAGTTTAGGAAAGCAATGCCTTCTCCTTCCTAGGATACCAGCCACTCATGGCAGGGGATGTAGCTGAGATGAGTTACAAGGTAGTAAAGTCAAAGCTATGTGAATGGATGTCTCTTTCTTTTATAGGTTTATGATTTGAACACTGTTGCCAAGCAAATAGAGTTGCCTGGAGCTTTCATTCTGGGAGCTGGAGCGGGGTCCTCTAAGATTCTTGGAGTAAATGCTGAGGTCAGTAAGTATGTATAAATACACAGCAGTTCTCAAAAAAATTAAATGGTCAAGTATTATTTGTATGTGACACCATAAGTTAATGACACTTTACAACCAAAATAAAGAGGAGGTGTCCCAGGAGGTGCTTATTACTTAGGTAATTGTTGCTCTTTCTCAGACCTGCTGAGGAACAAACCTGGACAAAGGGTGGGCTGGAGCAGTATTGTTTTTGGGGTTGTTTATTGGTACAGATTCTTAAGAGTAAAGTGGTACTCTTACATATAGATCACATTCATACTGGCAGTTTGGAGGCAAGCTGCAAATGCAGTGAAGATTACTTTTGATTTCACTGGCTGGAGTGCTAGCTAGGTGTCAGCTTCCAGGAGACTCCTCCATGTTCCTTAGGAGATCCCTTCGGATCTGCAGGAGGCTTTACTTCTCTGGGCTGGTCTCAGGTTTCTGCTGTGATGTTAAATCTTGTCCAAGAGAGAGAGATTTTCTGGCCACTTCTCAGTTAATTTATCTGCTTGCAGGGTCTTCGTTTGCCTTAAAAGGTCACGGATCCTAAACTGCCTTTTTGGTTGGGTATTTCTCATTCATATTTCACATTCATGCCACAGGTTTCTAGGCAAAGTTGTACGTCATGGCCTTGAGTAACAAGAAATTGCATTGTACTAAAGATAACATACCAAAGCCATGATAAAAAACTTAACATGAATTGTAACTAAGGCTACATCTACACTGCATCCCTCTTGCGCAAACGCCTATGCAAATGAAGCACAGATTAGCATATTGCCATGCCCAGACCTTGCACCCCCAGCTGTAGCCCCTTCTGTGCCCCAATCACCAATTTGTGAACATTCCTGGCCCACCTACAATTTCCATACTGAGATGTGGACCTCAGGTCAAAAAGTTTGCCCACCTCTGCTCTAGCTGTTGCCATATTGACATTTGTTATTATCTGGTCACATTTTTAATACTAGAGAAGATGAAAAATATGCAAAAAAAAAAAAAAAAAGAGACACCAAATTGTTGAATGGTGTCTTTAAAATACCCAGTGTTAGTCCTCATTTTAAATCTCACAAGAGACAAAAATATGTTATCATTCAAGATGCTATTATTTTGTTAAGACTTAAAATTTAAGGTCAGGTAGGGATCAGAAGTTTAAAAAAAATATTTAGGTCATCTTGCCTACGTGTTGAAATAGTTAGAGAAAGCAACTTTTATTTGAGGTGAGTGGGAAAACTCCAGTGTTCTAATTGCCATGTCTAATTACAAAGAAGAGTACATGTCTAAACATATTCTTAGGTGCTGCCGCGAGAACCACAGGTCCGATGATGCATACCCAAGGGGGGAAGGACTGTTTTAGTAAATAACAGGTGGACTGTTTTAGTAAATAAAAGATATTTATTTATGACAGTGATGAATATAGTATTTATTCTAAGATTTTTAATTGACCATGTCAGTAATGAATTTACAATATTTATTATATTCTACGATTTCTAGTTGAATGCATCAGAAATATAAGGATGGGAACAGCAAGGGCAATAGTCTCTACTCTAAAGATATCAAACTATACTAATAACAGTGATAACTACAAACTCTATGTACTACCAAAATAACTATAACACTAAGCTATACAACAAGGAAAATCAAATCATACATACCAACTTACACAGCACGCGGAACATTCCAAAGCTATCGGTTCGGGTGCGAAGGCCTTGGTTACGCCCGAGAGTCGGGGGAGGTGGCTGGTCAGTTGATCAGGCCGGCAGCGCTTTGGAGTATACGGGAAGGCACACGCATGGTGGTACGTGTGTTGCGAAGACCTCCTCGAGTGAACTGTGCAATGGGTATTTATCCCCAAGTCTGCACATCGCTTTCTCATGCTTGCATATTACCATATATGGCCCAACGGTCACCAAGTGGGGGTCTGTGTCATAGGGGCTGGGCCGAAACTGTGCAGGTTTCATGCGACCAGGTAAGCCCCGCAGTTCTCATGCCAAGGTGATGGGTAGGAGAGTCCAAGGCTATCTTCCCCTTTTCACACCTTCCCTTTTCTAAAGGCAATGGTATGCTGGAAGGGTGCGGCCAGTTTCTCCCAAGGAGTACTGCGGACCACTATAGCAAGAGTGGCCTGGCCAAACTTTTTACTGGGGAGCAGTTTTTTTCTAACGGGTGCCTGAAATACAAAGAAGAAAACTAAATTAATTGAAAGGTGGCATCTTAACAGCTTGATACACAGTAGGAGTGAGAAAATGTAGCTCTTAGCAGTAAATGTGGTATCTCGGAGACTTTCAAAATTGCTGTACATTTTTATTATTTTTTAAAAAAGGAAAATATTTTGTTTTAAAGTAGTTAAATTACCCATTTAAATTATTATAGACCTTGTTTCACTACAACATGGAGGATATTTTTAAGAACACTCAAAATTGGGTCTAACTCTGCAGTTTTGAAAATGCCACCTGAAAACTTTTTCATTTCAGTGCTTTATAACAGAAGCTGAATGCTTACTGCTGATCAGCATCACTAAGCTGGGCCTCCTGCTGTGATATATTAAATTGGTTGCATCATTAAGAAATAATTAATTGAGAAATTAGTGTTCTGTTATATACAGTAAACTTCTGATAGTCCGGCATATCTGATAATCCGGCACCCCCAGGGACCTAAAGGTGCCAGATTATCAGAAGTGGGGGCTATGAGGGGTCTGGGGTGGGGTGGGGTGGGGGATGCTACCCCAGACCCCCTCATAGCCCCCCTTC